AGGTAGGACAGAAAGTGACTTCTATACTTTTAAAATTTGCCCAAAATTTAGGAGGTCTTTAGACCAAGCCAACTATAGAGTATTTTTAGAATCCAGATTGTCAATTATTTATTACAGTATTTAGAAATTCCAAACTTGGAAATCTCCCTGACTAAAAAAATTTCATTGGCTGAATTTTTTAAATACAGATTGATCAAACAAAGTGGTACAAAAAATCTTTCATCACAACATTAAAAATAAATGATGATATAAATAACAATTTAAATAACAAAATTTTTACCTGATGAGTTTGCCAATTGAAAATGGGATTTTATCAGAACCTATGGAGATGGAATCAATACTAATAGCATTTCAAACAATATGAATTTTGAGCCAAATGAGTAAAGTACTTTGTACTTTTGAATTTAGTTCATGTGCCATATCCTCATATAGGTCCAGTTATGAAAATGAGATATGGGAATGGGAATTAAATAGAAAACTTACAGCTATTACCACTGATAATGGTAACAACATGGATTGTGCATTGAAATTATTAAAGAATTCTTTAGAAGTTGATAGAGTTCCATGTTCAGCTCACACATCTCAACTATATAAATTGTAACAATAATATTAAGACTCCAATTCTTAGAGCCAGAAAAAGATGCATTTCTTTTTTTCCTCTCCAAAACAATTGGAAGAATTAGAAAAACAACAAGAGACTAAATTAAAGTTATCCTAGAATATTAAAACTGACGGGCAATGTAAGGATATGTTAGAATAGTACATACAAGGCATGGATGCAATTATAGCCATCATTCTTTTAACAAATTAGACACAGATAGAGAAGTTGAGAAAATTTTATTGAGTGATGATGAATGGTTACTAATTAGTGACCCTGTTAATATTCTAGGACAATTCAACACCATCACTGCAACAGTGAGTAGTAGCAAATTTGTCATGTTGTCTTTAATTTATTCTTTAATAGTTAGTCTTTTAAAAATATATATATATTAAATGCAATCAGTGATGATGATGAAGATGATAGCAATAACAATAATGTAATTGTTCCACCAGTTAATACTGATGATTTCTTAAATGAAGAAGAGTTTGAAGATCAAGAACAATTACCATTGCCATCATTAGAAGGAAACAAGTGAACAAGAAGATGTTATATTTTTTGAAAAAAATAATCAAGAGAAAGAAAATAAAAAATTAATATCTCAACATTATACAAATCAATGAAATCAATAAAACCAACATTGGTATGATCCTTCTGTCTTGGCTAAGGTTTCTGGTCGAAACTGCTTCTATTAGTAGCCGAAATTGCCTAAATACTTTGGGCAAAAATTATTTTTTTATAAGCCCAAACTACTTTTTGTTATTAGCCGAAATTGGGCGAAATTATTTTAAAGTTGTTTAAGTTAAAACAAGTTGATTCATATAGTTTTTTAATGTTGATGCTTATAGAAAATGTTGAGAAGCCCAAATTGCCCAAACTAGTTTGGGCTTTGAGAAAACAGTTTGGACCAGAAACCTTAGTCTTGGCAATGCTCACACCAACATTAGATCCATGGTTCAAACATTTGATGAAGGAACACATTCAGAAATATTAAGAATATTAAAAATTCAATATGAATTAATCAAACATAATAGCAGTTTTTCTCATTCAAGAAGTATAATCCCTCCTTTAAGGGACAATTCCGTTTATTTGATGATTTGCAACAATATGAAGAGTCACAAGATGAATATGAAAAATATTTTTCTTTGCCAACTGCTTCCAGACAAGTAGATCCATTGGTTTGGTGGACTGATAAAAAGGATTAAAAAGGATGAATTTCCTATCATATCAATTCTAGTGAAAAAGTATTTGTGTATTAATACAGCTTCTGTACACCTATTCTCTGATGTGGGAAACCACATAACGCCACAAGGAATAAATTATCCCATGATGTTATTTCTAAAGTATTATTTTTGAAGGTCAACTGATCCTTTGGAGGCATCTGTACATAGAAAACAGAAATTTGATCCATCATTACAAGGACGAAAAGCAGACTTTTCTGTTTATATACCAATTAGAGGTGAAAAATTTTATTTAATTGTATCAGAAACAAGGTCTGCCGATTATATATTATTAAACAAAATCACTTTGGAAAGTTGTGATATGGTGAAAATGGAAAATGAAATGAAAGATGTAATTGATAAGTGTATTGATAATGGAATAAAAAGCAATGATTTGAGAATTTGTGGTTTACTGGTTGAAGGCAAGTTATTTTCATTGACATTTTCTTAATAACGTTATTATCTAATCTGGTTTTTGTAAAGAAATTCAAATAATATTTCTGTTTTTAATCATTAAAAATACATCACTCTATTTTCTATTAATCAATGTTATATATAAATTTTAATGTATTTTTACATTATTCATTTTTTTACATATTATATAAAAAATATTAATAAAGAATTTAATTATTTTAACCGGGTAAAAAAAGACCAACAGGTCCTAAGACCTGGATTGACTTTTCCATCCCTAAATCTTTACCCTATTACTATGTTAATATCTGAAATTTTCAATAGCTACCAACCCTAAATTAACACACGATAAAGTATCAATCATTTTACTTAAATGATATATTATTATAATTTATTTGAATAAATAAAAATCAAGATAGATGAAATTATTGGAGTAACAATGATAATTAATACAAATAACAACAAAGAGAATAAATGCGATGTTGATTGTTGTTGTTCAATTTGAATTAAAATATTCTCAAGTTTATTTATGAATGTTTCTAAGGAAAATAAATTTTTAACATGGTCTCTTCCTTTTTTACCTAGATCATATCTATTATATTTATTTAAAATAATAGATGAAAGTGCCTCTGAAAAGGCCTCAGGTGTTGCTTCACACAAGAAACCAGTCTCCTGATTTCTTATAGTTTCTTTTGGACCACCATTATTAACAGCTATCACAGGCAAACAAGAGTACATAGCTTCGATTGGTACAATTCCAAAATGTTCGTTAGATGGTGTGTATAAAAGACAAAGTGCCTTTGATAATAAATAGGTTCGTTGTGCCTCATTAAAAGAACAAAGAAATATAATTTGTGCATTATCTGGTGGATGACTTGTTGAACCTGGCATTATAGTAAATGTTTCAAGGTCTAATTGATTTGCAATCTCGTTTAATTCTAAATGATATTCTACATTTTCTTTAACTCGAAGATCATAACCACCTATAATTTCAGTATTATCAATACCAATATATATATTTATATATTTTGAAATTAAAATCAATGACTTACCAGCAATAACTAATTGTAAATTTAAAAATAGATTTTTTGATGGTAAACTATCTTTTAAATTTGCAAACGCATTAATTGCAAGTGAAATGTTTTTTTTTCTTTCAAATCTGTTTATAGATAAAATCAATTCCTTAGAACTATTAAACATATATATTGAATAAATAGAAAAATAATAAATAAATAAATAGATATTTTTGATTGTAACAATAATAATCATAATAATAAAATAAAGTTACGTTTCCAAAATTTTTATATTTTTATCTTGTAAATTTATTTCCTTGTCATATGAATCAAAGTGTATACCAGGATAAAGAATTTGTGGTATATTTTTAATTGTTGGAAAAGATTCTTGAAATACAAGTGATGTAAATCTACTATTGACAACTATAGAATCAGCCATACCTAACAAGATTATTAAAATATATACATTATTGAAATAATGATTTTTTTTAAAAAAATTATATATACGCACATACATACATATTGATTATTAATAATTACCAGTTGTTAATTCTTCTAGCTTATCAATTGGATATCTATAAATTGATTTTAACAAGGATTCCCTTATGGACAGCAATTTATCTGGAAAATGACAATAAAACAAGACCTTATCCAAGATTAAACAGTTGTAATTAAATTATTTTTGTGTATGTATAGAAAATAAAGCATTGATACATCAATAATAATACCTTAGCGCCGGTTAACTTTAATAAAGGAATGCATGCAGATAATTGATCTACAAATATCACATCATATTGATCCTTATCTGTAAAGATCAAAGATAACGACAAATGAAGTTGCCTAAGGATTGCAGACACAATATAAAAATATCCAAAAAATGTACTAGGAATAATTGTATTTCCTCGTACTCTGACATCAAGTGTACCTACAAATCAAAGTTAATTAATAAAACTACTATAATAATAAATGATGAATGATGGATGACAGCACTAACCATCTTTAGTTTCTTGAAAACAATGACTACGATCATGGTGGGAAGTATATATAACAATATCGTGACCTTTTGACTGCAAACCAACTGCCGCATCTACCACAAGTCTTTCTGCACCACCTATGAGTATAAAATGCTAGGTCAATAAATCAAAATGCTGATAATTTCTATTTTTCCTAATAATGATTTTTAAAAGTGAAACATCAAAAAAAAACTTACCTATTCCTAAATCAGGATGTATGAAAGCTACTTTAAGTGGTTTTGATAACATTATGAAATTGATCTTCGTATTAACTATCTTTCAAATTTTTTTGGATTTGTTACACCGATTATTTTATTTTTTACTATGGGCAAAGTTTTTGATCCCTGAAATTTCTTGTTATTAATATGTCAAAGAAAGAATCTCAACAACCTCCATCTCCACTTCCACCAAATAATGTAATTAATTTTGATGGAAATCAATAAATGGTATATGATGTTATTTAATTAATAAAAAAAATTTTTTTTTATTAGCCACGTCAATGTAATTTTTGGGTAAAACGTAAAAGGTAAATTGTTGTCAAGAAAATTATCGATTAATTAATCCTTGATTTGTAAAATATTAAATAAACAATAATAAATAATAACAAAATCAGACGGTACTGTCATCTTCCAAAAAAACTTGATAATAATTATTGTGGTGAACATTTACAATGTGAAGTAAAAGTAGGTATAAAAAAGGAAAGAATTCCATGCCCATTTGATCCTTCACAGTAAGTATACAACCATAAAATTATATATAAAATATATATTTAAATCATTTTATCAAAGAATTAAATTAAATTAAAGGTAATCTCAATCAATCAATCAATCATTCAATCACAAACAAAATCTCGCATGGATTAAAAAGTACTGTTTACAAGATTGAATTGGAAAAACATTTAAAACATAAATGTAACTCGCGTCCGAAACCAACCCCAGCTTATTTCTCTCTTGATATTAATTGCACACTTCCAACACCAATATCCCCAATTGATGACAATGATGGTGATAAATCAGGTGATGATGGGAAAATCACACTTTCAGGTTTATCGAAAGAGACTTTAAACATTTTGATCAACAATGTTAGAAATTGGTATAATAACAATGATGCTGTGCCAAAGATCATTAGGACTGAGGTTTTGGATCATGAAGTTTTAAAAGAAAAAAAGTTTGTATTTATTTTTCTTTACAAATTAATATTCATTCTCATTTATTTCATTAATTAGTAATGTATTTGATCCTTTCTTAAAAAGAGAAATCACAAAAAATCAAAAACATGTTATTCAACAAGTTAGTATCATATTCTTTAATATTAAAGAAAAAAATGATTTTTCATCAAACAATAAATAAATAATATAAATAATAGGCCTCACTTTTGGGACATATGAAGAGATTAGAATTATTAAAAGCAAATTCTTGTTCCATAGAGTTTGGATGTGGCAAAGGCGAATTATCATATTTTAAAAAATTAGCCATTAAAAAAGAAGCTGATGACAATAATAATAAGTCAACATTTATTCTAATAGATAGAAAAAATACTCGTGGCAAAGTATAAGATTTTCATTATTATCATTTGATTATGATGATTCATTTAAGGAAGTTGCTGATTTTCCTTTTTTCTTTAAAAAAATTTTTTTATCAAGTTTGATTCATTAATTAGAGGATCATTGGATAATAAATCAATTATCAAACGTATAGAAATAGATATTAAAGATTTAGATTTGTCAAAGTTGGATTTACTAAACAATAATTCTGGTAATGAAGAAGAAGAAAATAAAAATAGTGACAATCATAATATAGTTGCATATTCTAAACATCTTTGTGGTTCAGCAACTGATATTACATTAAAAGCTTTAATCAACTATTTAAATTCTAGTAAAAAAAAAAGGCATAAATATTTCATTTTCATTTTTTAGTGTGTACATGTGCAACACTTGCTCTATTTAATTTTATTTTATTTCATTGTATTTACATTTTGTTTTCTTGCATTGTACAGAAATTCAATATCAGGAATAATTATAGCTTTGTGTTGTCATCAATTATGTTGTTATCATATGTATCCTTATCATGACTACTTAAAAGATTTAGGAATTACTAAAAATGATTTCCAAAGAATCTGTGCAATGAGTAGTTGGGCTATATGTGGACAACGACAAAAATATAAAAAAGATGACAATGATTGTGAAGGAGAAAAAGAATATGAAGATTATGATCATGAATCAGACTTAGTAAAAAAAGAAGATAATTTGTAATAATCTCATACATCTGTTTATATAATCTTTATATATATTTATTTTTTAATTAATCAAAAAATTTGTTTATTTAGAATTCATTATTCAGGTTTAGAACATTCTGATAGAGAAATTTTGGGGTATCAATGTAAACGAATACTGGATGCTGGACGTGTCAAGTTCCTGGAGGAAAATGGATTTCAAGCTGAACTGATTTATTATGTTGAGCCATCAACTTCATTAGAAAATTTGGCATTGATTGCTATTCCAAAAAAATTGTAATTTGGTTGGTGGGATTCACATATAAGTCACATATATTATTTTATTTTTATATATGCATATAATTTGTATGTTAGTGACGTATAATTCCATATAATATTACCTTTTTTTTTTTAATAATAAAAAATAATGAGGAGAACTCCTATTTTTGAGTTTTCTTTCATTTAATGTTGTAATTAAATTGATTTTAATGGTACAGCCATTATTATTCCCAGTGCCTAAAATTTGATATGCAAAATGCTCAATCTGAGCTAAGGTTTCTGGTCCAAACTGTTTTCTCAAAGTCCAAACTAGTTTGGGCAATTTGGGCTTCTCAACATTTTCTATA